TCTCATACTTTGGACATATTGTCAGGAGGAAACAGTCGCTGGAGAAGGATGTCATGCTGGGTAAGGTGGAGGGTCAGAGAAAAAGAGGAAGACCCCTAACGAGATGGATTGGCCAGGTGGCATCATTGATGGACTCAAGTGTGGCAGCGGTAGTGAGGTTGGCCCAGGATCGGACATTGTTTCGTTCTGCTGTGCATGGGGTCGCTATGAGTCGGTTCCGACTTGATGGCACCTGACAACAACAACATGGGGTTTCTGAAGTCCTGGTGTGGCGCTCTGGGTTAATATGCTGGACTGTAAAGTTGGTTTGAACTGCAAGGTCAGTGGTTCAAGCTCACCAACTGTTCCTCAGAAACCACATACAGGGTCACTATGGGTCAGAATCAACTTGATGGCACACAACAACAACACAGGGTTTCTGCGAATCACAAGGTTATCAGTTCAAACCTACCAGTTGGTTCTTGGAAACACTATACAGGGTCACTATGAGTCAGAACCAATTCGATGGCATGTAACAACAACATAGGGTTTCCATCTTTCTTCCAAGGAATGGCTGGGGTGGGTTCGAACTATGGATCTTTTATTTAGCTGTAAAGCACTTTGATCATTAGGCTCCCAGGGCTTCTTCTAATCTTCAGTTGTTACGTGCTGTTGCATCAGTTCCAACTCACAGTGACCCTGTATAGGGCTTCCAAGGAATGTCTGGCACGTTTGAACCACTAACCTTGCAGTTAGCAGTTCACTGCTTATATTAAAGTATCAAACCAGGACTCCTCTAATCTTCAGTTGCTACTGTTGGTCTGTGCTGTCGAGTCAGTTCCGACTCACAGTGACCCCATATAAGGTTCCCAAGGCTATATAAATCTTTATGAGCAGAAAGTCTCATCTTCCCTGGAGCGGCTGGTGGATTTGAACTGCTGACTTGTGGTTTGCAGTCTAACATGTAACTCTCTACTCCACCAGGGTTCCATGTAATCTTCGGTGGTGGTGGTGTGCTGGAGTCAGTTCCGACTCATAGTGACCCTGTATAGGGTTTCCAAGGGTGTATATCTTTATGGGAGCAGAAAGCCTCATCTTTCTCCCACAGAACAGCTGGTAGTTTCAAACTACTGACCTTGAGACTAGCAGCTCAACTCATAACTACTACGCTACCAGAGCTCCTTGTAATCTTCAGTTGTTGTTGCTAAGTACCGTGGTGTCGGTTCTGACTCATAGTGACCCTGCATAGGATTTCCAAGGCTGTAAATCTTTACGGGGGCAGAACGCCTCATCTTTCTCCCACGGAACCACTGGTAGTTTCGAACTGCTGACCTTGATGTTGGCAGCCTGACTCATAACCACTATGCTACCAGAGCTCCTTGTAATCTTCAGTTGTTGTTGTTATGTGCCATGGAATCAGTTCCGACTCATAGCGACCCTGTACAGGGTTTCCAAGGCTGTAAATCTTTACAGGAGCAGAAGGCCTCATCTTTCTCCCGAGAGACAGCTGGTAGTTTCGAACAGCTGACCTTGCGGTTAGCAGCCGGATTTGTAACCACTACGCTACCAGAGCTCCTTTGTAATCTTCAGTAGTAGCTTTTAATTAGTTTTTTCCAATGACCATTCAAGTCAGTATGACTTACCCATTTCCCCTGTGAGGCTCAGAGATGATTACAATGACCTGTGTAATTTGGGAAGTCAGGGCATTGGATTCCCTGGAGAGGGAGGAGAGTGACCGGAAAGGAGTGTGGTGTAAACTTCTGGATGCTGGTATTGCTCAGATTCTAGATGTGCATGTTCGTACATGGGTAGCTAGGTCTTGATTCTAGGTCAGCATTTCCTAAAGTGAGTGGTGAGATCTTTCTGTTGGTATATAGGAAATTAGACAGCACTGAGTCAGACAGCAAGAAAGTTGTCCTTTTTCAATTCTTTTCCAAACCTTCTGATTCCATCAAGGATAAAGTCTTGCCTTGGCAGTGGTTTATGAAACAGTTTTGAAACACTTCCTTTTGAATAATGGGAGAGAAGATTTCAAGGCTTAGAGGCTTAGCAAGTAATATATCTACTTATTTTTGTTAAATGCCGTCGATTCGGTTCTGACTCATGGTGACCCTGTATAGACAGGGTTTCCAGGGAAAGACTGGTAGGTTTGAATCACTGACCTTGTGGTTCAAACTGACCTTGTGGTCCAGTGCTTATCTTCTAGCACAATACCAGGACTCCCCATTACTTTTTTGTTTTCATTCACTTAATTTTCCAGTTACATTCTGAGGTAGTCTTAGCTTACTGTGAACCTAATAACCATCCCTCTGGTACCTTGAATTTTCTTGATATGGCATTTCTATCCAAAGTCTTCTTAATTCTCACCAAGTGATTGGGTTTATGTTAACCATTCAAATAAGGTATATAGGACTCTAAGGCTGGTATTGGTTAGCTTTGCCATCCAGCTAGGCTTAAAAGGAGCCATCTTAGCAGCAGGAATGGGAGATCCCAGGACCATCAAGAAGGAAGAACATGAATGGAGCATGAGATCCTACCTAGAAAAACAGTGACAGCAGAGGCGACAGCATGGAGAGACAGAGCAGCTGCAGGCTCTAGACCCATGAACTGCGAATGAAGCCAAGGGACCACATGGCTGAGAGGTCAGAGACAAGAGTGAGGCATGCCTGCAGTGTGGCAGATAAGAGGCGTTCCTGACTGGAGAACTCTGCATCTTCATTTGATTTTGATCCTGAATTACACCCTGTTAATTTCCCTAATAAACCCCATGTTGCTTAAGTGCTATAGAGTTGGTTCCAACTCATAGTGACCCTCTATAGGTTTTCCTAGAAGCAGCTTAAAAGTTTGAACCGCCAACTTTGTGGTTCCAACCGACCTTTCAGTCCAATGCTTTATTCCATAGCACCATAAACCCCATAATACTGAGTATTGTTATGAGTTCTGTGTCACCACTGAAATGGATTATTGAACCTAGGTATGAAGTGGAGAGTGCTGTGGGGGGTATGGTTGGTATCAGAAAAGACTAAGGAAGGTTGTAAGGTGGAAGCATATGCTTCATAGGACTCAGCCTTGGGTTGATTTTGAGTTTGATTCTCTTTCCCCCTTGTGAAACCAGGGGATGTCAGACATGGTTCCCACATGGTTTTTGCAATCTCTAATTTCCTCAAACCAAAGGTCTCATATTTATTAATCTCTTAATTTAGAAGCATAAGAACAAAGGAAGAAACTAGAAGCTTTCCAATAAATATTCAATTGACCAGATGGCTATAAAATTTTAAATTTGATATGGTGGAACGGTAATCATTCTTCTCCAGTGTCTTCTCTTGAAGTGGTACCTGATTTTATGACCAGTTTTCATTCTAATCCATTGGAAATGGGATGATTCTGCTTTTGTTTTTTGGCAAAAAAATCTCTTAATCCTTAAAGTTTTACAAGAAGACATAGTGAAGATGAAAGACAGTCACACTCACACGATGGCGGAGAAAGGGAGATCCTAAATTCTTTCTAACAAAACCCTGATACATACATACATATATATAAATATATATATATATATATATTATATCCACCACTTGTCTGTCAGTTTGTCATACTTTGATGGCTTGTGAGTTGTTGTGATTCTGGAAGCTATGCCACTGGTACTTTAAATACCAGCAGGGTCACCCATAGTGGACAGGTTTTAGATGAGCTTTTAGATGAAGACAGACTAGGAAGAAGGAGAGACGAACTACTATTCAGTAGGATATTTAGTCACTGAAAACCTTATTAATTACAGAGAAACACTGTCAGATATAGTGCCAGAAAATGAGCCCCTCAGGTTGGAAGGCACTCAAAAGGCAACTAGGGAAGAGCTGTCTCCTCAAAGTAGAGTTGGCCGTGATGACGTGAATGGAATAAAGTCCGTGGGAGTAAAGCCTGCGGGACCTTCATCTGCTGATGGGGCACAACTCAAAATGAGGAAGACCCCCCAGTGAGGTGGAGTGGTAAAGTGGTAGCATCAAAGGGCTCAACTGTGGTAACAATTGTGAGGTTGGCCCAGGACAGGGCACTGTTTCATTCTGTTGTACATAGGGTTGCTATGAGTCGGTACTAATATACATACATATATATATATATAAAACAGACCTCATTTCCCAAGCTCCCTTGCAGTTAAGGAGACCACAAGGCTAAGCTCAGCCAAGGAGAAGCAAGAAGTTGCTGGGTGAAATGTTCAGGAGCACTCCTTGATCAAATGTACACAGACACATCCTTTTGTCTTTCCTCTTTCCTGATGATTGGTGGACTTAATGGCTGGTGACCCAGCAGCCGCCTTGGGCTATGAGGCAACCTTGATGAGGGAAGTCACACAATAAGGAAAAGAGTGTAAGAGAAAGTGAGGCCGAGCCTTGGTTCCTAGAACAACGTGGACCTCCCAAAGGAGCCTTGGCTTGCCTCCTCCCATTCTCTTTTCATGTAAGAAAGAAAGAAATTTCTACCTTATCTTAGTCTGTTATTCCTGCCCATCCGACTTTAATTTGTAGCAAATTACACTTAATTTCCATTTACAGTAATATAAAGCTTCTTAGAATTTCTTTTTAAATGAAAATAAATGTAAGAGCATCAAAACAAAGATGACTGTGAAATATCACACCTATGGCCAAGGAGTTGATGCTGACTCATAGTGACCCTAGATAGGGTTTCCGAGACCGACAGTCTCATCGTTCTCCCATAGAGTGACTGGTAGGTTTGAACTGCTGACCCTGAGGTTTGCTTATCCTACAATGCCACCAGAGTTCCATGTGAAATATCTCCTTATGTGTGAAATAACACAGGTGACAGACACGTGACAACTTAAAAAGGGATTTTAGGAATCATTGTACCAGGCTATATATTGCGTTGTTGTCTGTAGAGAATCCATGAGGAGAGAGATTATCAGTTTTCCCAGGAGAATCCTCTTGATTGCCCTGGTGTTTGGGGATCTCATCCCTGGGCTCAGGTCCAAGTCAGGCCAGTTCCTGAAGCCCAAAGGAAGCTTCACTTACCAGCTATTTTCCAGGGTCCGTGTGCTGCTCCTTTCCTCTTGCCTCTTCTCTAACTCCACTGCTGTCTGTTCCAAGAGAGCAGACACTGCATCCTGCAAAGACAAGCTGATGAGTTCATCTGGTCTACCCTGACCGGTTCTACCTGGCAGGAACTAGTGCTTCTCAGAGTTGTGACTCTCGCTGTGAACTGAGGGTATAAGTGAAGACCGGAGTGATTAAATGTTTTACCAAGGTTACTTGGTAAATGAGAAACTCTAATCATACCAGAAGTTCTTCAGAGACTATTCCCTGCATACACAGTCCTGATATGATACTGTAGCACTGTAAGGTTGGCAGTTCAAATCCACCAGTCCCTCCTTAGAAACCCTATACAGGATCACTATGAGTTGGAACTGACTTGATGGCACTTAACAAGAAGAAGCAGTGTTCTGGAAGACAGTAAAGTTTTGTATAGTAGTAAATGAGACAAAATTCTAAGTTTCTGTATAGTAGGAGATCATAGTAGAGCCAGGGGGAATCAACACATGAATCATCAATAATTAAGAGTGATGAGTAAGGTAAGCATTAGAGGTATGGGGGCAAAGGCGGACTGACAAAACAACTTGGGGGCTGCATTCCAGGGAGGCTTCCTGGAGAAAGACCATCTACACTGAAAGAGACTTGTAGTGGGGAACTCTGTGTGACTTGAGAAAGTTATTTACCCTTTTTGAGACTTCATTTTCTCTAATAATTACTACAAAAGGCTATTAATGAACAGAAACTATGTATAAGAGATATCCAGAAGAGTACTTAGCACATAATTGGCACTCAATAAATGACAGCTAACAGTAAAGCAAACCTGGGATCTGGTGGTTTTCTGAATATATGGTTGCCTTGCAATTTTTTTTGGTAGTGTGGGCCAGTCTGGATAATAATCCCTGAAATTTTCTTTTGGGGAAAGGCAAAGAGAATTGAAAAGGATTGAACGCATGGTATATATACCAGGTATCCTTTTTAATGGTTAGCATGTAGTATTTATTTAATTTTTGCAGCCATCCTGGTAAGTCGGAGAAATGGGAATGGGCAAGTAAGGTGCCTAGGATTCATGTTTCTTACCCAAGGTCCTGTACAATAAGTGGAGGAGTCTGTTTTTAAGTTGGTCAACTCTTACAGCTCACTGTCTCCTTTTTGGAGTGAGAGAGACCTAGGTTTGAGACCTATCTTTGTGACTTATTACATGTAGATCCTTAGATGTTTGTCTTGGTCAACTGCATGCAATAAAAAGGACAATGCCTAACAAAGAGGGAAAAACAGTAAGTAATAAATACAGTAAGTGATGGTGATACTGCAAGAAGAAGAAGAAAAGGGGCAGGAGGGAAACAATAGACCTCCTTCTCACCCCCTTGTCCTTGCCCACATAGCTCAGCCTATCCTCTTCATTGAAATTCCGGGCAGTGATTGTCCAAGGTATCCAAGTACTGACAAAGGGAAGGACACTAAAGAGAACTGCAAGACAACCTGGATTGTAAGCACATTCTATTTGACTTTTTGATATGGCCAGGAGCCATGAATCAGGAATCATCCAAAAAACAGTTACTCACTGTGATACTCAGTGAATTACTTCTTTTGGCTGATGGGTCTGTATAAGAAAAGGTGAGTAAAGATGTTGACTGATAGGATTCAGTTGTAAATTACTGTTAGCAGTGTTAACTGTGAATGCACAAACTTGGAAATCTAATGAGAGGATTGGTCAGTTTTGTCATCCTGCTGGGTTTAAAATAAGCCATGTCAGAAGCAGGGGGTGGAGGTGGGACTCAATCTCACTACCAACAAGGAAGAAGTGCCAGGAGACAAAGCTGTGATACAGCTGTGGTGTGCAACAGCAATACCAAGAGCCAAAGCACGAGACAGAGCAGTGGACTTCCCACCCACGTAGCAAGTAAAGCTGAGGGAATTTGGGCAGGAGGCTTACTTGTGGAGTGGGGTGCCACCAGGCATTTAATTGAGGGAGCCTGGGTTGCTGACATAAGGGGCTTGAGCTTAATGCCTTTGGGTTGAGGAGTGGAGTGTCCTTGGGGAATTTATCAGCTGCTCTAAAAGAGCTTTGTAATATTGCTTGAGCAGGGTTGAGGTCAGACCAAGGGGCAGAGGGCCAGAGAGCCACCTGTCCGTGGACATGGCTGAGAAAAAGGCGGCTTTCCTGATTGGAAGAATTATCTTTGAGCATTTTTGACTCTGAACTGTAACCTGTTAACTTCCCTAATAAGCCCCATAATTGTGAGTTCTGTGTGGAAATTGTGATGAATTCTTGATCCAACTGAGAGAGAAAGTGTGCTGTGGGAGGCATGGTTGGTGTCAGAACTGTTAAGGAAGGCGGCAGGTGGAGGCATATCTGATCTCATCCTCACAGGCATCGGCCTTGGGCTGATGCTGACTCTCCTTCTACCTTATGAGGTCAGAAGATGCTACCCCCATGCTATTTTCACAAGTAGCTTCACTGTTCAGCTGGGAACTGGCCAGTCTACTCTACTTAAGCCAGCAGATGTAGGCTTTTCAAGTACATGAAACAGTTTAAAGATATTTTAACAAGTTAAAATGTGCTACAACCAAATGAAAACAGTACATATTTTAAAACTAAAACTAGGCATATGTGAGATTGTTGTTGTTGTTAAGTGTCGTCAAGTCGATTCTGACCCATAGAGACCGTCTATAGGGTTTCCGAGGAGCAGCTGGTGGTCTTGAACCACTGACCTTGCAGTTCAAACGGCTTTATGTGAAATTAACAACAGTTAAATATATCATGCAGTGACCAACTACTCTTTCCCTGTATTTTCAAAAATCTTCCTAATAATTATTCTATACTTGTTGTTAAGTGTCACAGAGTTGGTTCTGACTTCTAGCAACCCTCTGTAGGGTTTCTGAGGCTTTTTAAGTCTGGCAGCAGAAACCCTCATCTTTCTCCTGAGAAGCAGTGGGTGGACTCGAACCACAAATCTTGTAGTCAATAATCTAGTACTTATTCTACAGAGCCACTGTACTTGCATAAGGATAGAGGCTCAGAGAAGTGAAATGAATGATCCCTGTTATCCAACTAACACACCCAGATGTTTTGACTCTAAGGCGCTGACCTTCTCATGACTTCCTCCTGCTTCTATATAAACCCCTTTATGTAGCTCATGGTGTGTCTCTGTGGGATAAAGCACTGCACCGCAAGAGTGGTTTGAACCACTAGTTTGGTGGTTCAAACTCACCAGCTGCTCCTCAGAAACCGTATACAGGCTTGCTATGAGTCGGAACTGACTCGATGGCACTTAACAACAAATGTGTCTGATAAAGAGCCTGGCAGCTAGTGGATTACAAACTCGGCCGTTAACTGCAGGTCAGTAGTTTGAACCTACCATCACTCCATGGGAGAAAGATAAGGCTTTCTGCTACCATAGAAACTTACAGCCTTGGAAACCCTATAGAGGGTTGCTGTGAGTCAGAACTGACTCGATGGCACACAACCACCACCATGTATTTCATGGGGTCCTGGTCTGGTGCTGTAGGATAAGCACTGGATGGCTAACTGCAAGGTTGGCAGTTTGAACTCACCAGTTGTTCCACAGAAACCCTATACAGGATTGCTATAGGTAGGACTTACTTGATAGCATTTAACAACAAGTATCTCACAAGAGTCCTGGTAGCACAGTGGTTAAGTGCTTCACTGATAACTGTAAGGTTAGTGGTTTGAACCCACCAGCTATTCTGGGGGACAAAAATGTGGCTGTTAGCTTCTGTAAAGAATGTTGTTGTTGGAAAGGGCCATTGAGTTGGTTCCAACTCATAGCGACCCTGTATGGGGTTTCTGAGGAGCATCCTTGCAAACCCTCTAGAAAAGTTTTAGTTTGTCCTATACGGCCGCTATGAGTTGAAATCCACTTGATGAGTGGGTTAGAACAGGTTAGAACAGGTTATCTATCTTGCAGAGGGTAGAGGTGGTTCAGTGGTCCATGTAGGAGAACCGGATTTGTTTCCTGGCCAGTGTCTCTCATGCACCACTACTGCCTGTTAGTCAGTAGAGGCTTATATGTTGCTATGGTGCTGCACAGATCAGTGGAGGTCCCAAAGTAAGATGCTCTAGAAAGTAAGGCCTGGCAATCTGTTTCTGAAAAATCAGTCAATAAAAAACAATATGGATCTTGACGGTCCAGTTCTCAACTGATGGTGGGGATGGTGCAGGGCCAGGATGCATTTTGTTCTGTCACACACGAAGTTGCCATGAGTTGGGGAAGGATTCAATCACAGCTAACAACTATAGCAATAGATCTTGTACATAGCAGGTGCTCAATAAAGGTTAATTGTCTATCTTTCATAGGCTTCTCCACATTTCTTCATTTTGATTAAAAATACATCCTGAATTAAGGTTTTCATCAGGCACATTTAGTTAGGAAAAGACCAAGGCTGTTAAACAACGTACTGAAGGGAGCGCAAAGCACAAATGGGGTGATACCTGCTCCTCAGTAGAGCCTGCTTCTTGTCTGCCCTCCTCTCCCCTCACCCCCTGACCAGTCTCTATCCCATTTTCCCACCTCTGGTGCCCATCCATCTCGTTCCTGGGGGAAGCTTCCCTATTCCTACATCCAGAGGTTGGATGTGGGAGGGTGGAGTAGACCTGGATCTGAGCTCACCGTGCTTTCAGGTCCTGGGGAGCGTCCAGGGGCTTCCACTGGTTTAGGCTCTCGGGATTGTTTCTTCAAGTATTTGTAGCTCAGGAGGTTGTACCAGCGAGTTGACCTCTCCCCAGATCGGCAGACCTCAGCCAGGCTGATCTGGGCACCTCCCTGTCAAGGATGAACAAAGAGCGTATCAGCAGGGGAAGACAAGGTATTCTGGGGAATTAAGTAAGGGAAACATCAATCAAGGTGACATGGGAAATCCTGGGTGGGGTCAGCAGTTAACATGTCTGACTGCTAAACTAAAAGGTTGGCAGTTTGAGTCCACCCATTTGCAAATTATGAAAAAAAAAGCCTGGTCATCTATTTCTGAAAAATCAAGTCATTGAAAACTCAGAATCCACCCCACAGTACCTAGTAGAACTAGGTGAGATGGAGGGTCTCTGGGAAAGAAAGGACTAGTTGCTAACAATCTTCAATAACTCACTACTCACTCACTCACACACATACTCCACTCACTGGCTTATTCACTTATCAAAGCTTTATTGAGCACTGTGTCAATCATACTGAGCACCAGGCTTAATGTTAGGTACGGGGGCTAAATGATTGTCCCCACATGGCTCCACCTCCTTGGAGCTAACCATCTACCAAGGAACTCAGACACTGAAGAAGTAAGAAGAAAACTGCTAAAACTTATCCATAACAAGAGATTTAAAAACTATACTAGAGTCCCTTAAACAAATAATAAATAAGGGGGAATCTGATGCAGACCATGCAGACCCAGTCAGGAGTTCAAGGCCCTGTAGGCCCAAGCGTTGCTGACCGTTCAAACCATAGGCTCTGAGGATTAGACTTTAGCCACCTAGTTGACATAGCAAAATGTCCCTCATCTGATTATTCAGTTATGCTGGTTAGTAATTCCATACATGAGCCCTGGATACCCACAGATAAATGTAAAAACCTTCCCTAAAAGC